GATTTTTTGTTGTTAGCAGCAAATTTGGCACACATACCCGATATGCCCAAATTTAAATACTGGTGGAGTTTGGAGGGGGGATTGGTTTTGTCATTTGGAGTTGTAGTTGCTGGGATTTATAGTTCACCTACAATCAAAGATCATTCTGAACTCCACCAACGATGGAATTGAACCAAACTTGGCACCCAGGACTCCCATGACCAACAGAAAATATTGGAAGGGTTTGGTGTGAACTGACCTTGAGTTTGGGAGTTGTAGTTCACCTACATCCAGAGAGTACTGTAGACTCAATGATGGATCTGGACCACACTTGGCTCAATACTCAATATGCCTAAATGTGAACATTGGTGGAGTTTGGGGAAAATCGACCTTGATATTTCGAGACTTGTAGTTGCTGGGATTTATAGTTCACTTACGATCAAAGAGCCCCCTTGACCCCATCAATGATAGAATTGGGCCAAACTTCCCACACAGAACCCCCAAGACCAACAGAAAATACTGGAGGGATTTGGGAGGAATCGACAGTGATTTAGGGGAGAGGTAGTTCACCTACATTCAAAGAGCACTGTGAACCCAGCCCACAATGGATCTGCACCAAACTTGCCTGCTCCTCCTGATGCTGACAGGCCGCTCTCAGTCCCATGTGATGCGGATGTTTTTTTCCCTTCCTTGAATGGACTTGACCTCTCGCAAGTCTCCCTCCAGCCTTGTATGCTCTCCCTCGCCCACACCTGCGCACCACGCTGCCATGCACCAAGCACGCCTGATCCCCAATCCCCTGCTTAGAGTTTCAGAAACAGCCCTCACGTTGGCTGAGAGGCTAGCCAGTCACAGCAGAGGAGGTCTTTTGGTGGGAGGATTCTCCATCTGTGATTTTTACCTGGGAACCACTCTGAGTCCCCTCGGGGAGATAGAGCCGTATATAAATAAAGTTTTTATTATTATTATTATTATTATTATTATTATTATTATTATTATTATTATTATTATCTGGTTCCAAAAAGCAAAAGAAGAACAGAAGGAGATATCTTTGGCCTTCTCTGTTTTCAGATGGTCTGCTGATCCCTGTGAAATGGGTCGTTTGACACCCCCCCCCCCCCCCCCCGGGACCGCGACTCCCAAGTTGAGAAACGCTGCATTAAATTGAATAAAAGTTTAAATGTTTCGCGGACCATATTTTAGTTCTACTGGTTGGGATTCACTAATACATATGCTGGAATCCACTCCAAGTCCCGTCGGGGAGATAGGGCGGAATATAAATAAAGTGTTACTATTATTATTATTATTATCATGCTAGGGCGTGAGCTTCCGCTGTCAGCCCTAGCTTCTGCCAACCTAGCAGTTCGAAAACATGCAAATGTGAGTAGATCAATAGCGGGAAGGTAATGGCACTCCATGCAGTCATGCCGGCCACATGACCTTGGAGGTGTCTATGGACAACGCCGGCTCTTCGGCTTAGAAATGGAGATGAGCACCAGGATTGTGGCGCAGCTGGCTGAGTGTCAGCTGCATTAAGATCACTCTGACCAAAAGGTCATGAGTTCGAAGCCAACCCGGGTTGGAGTGGGTTTCCAACCAATTGTGTAGCCTGTTGTTGACCTTTGCAACCCGAAAGACAGTTGCATCTGTCAAGTAGGAAAATAAGGTACCACCTTAAAGTGTGGGGAGGCTAAATTAACTGATTTATGAGACCATAAAGAAGACTCCAGCAAAGCATTCCAGCGGGGAAGCATGCGGGGAATGCGGAAGTGCTTCATCAGCGTCGCAGATGGACGATGAAAGCGACAGCTCCCCTGGCGGCCAGAAAAAGTTAAATAGCCTCTGTGTATGTCTGTATATGTTTGTATGTCAAAAATTGGCATTGAATGTTTGCCATATATGTGTACACTGTAATCTGCCCTGAGTCCCCTGCGGGGTGAGAAGGGCGGAATATAAAAGCTGTAAATAAATAAAATAAATAATAATAATAATAATAATAATACTTTATTTATACCCTGCTCCATCTCCCCCAGGGGGACTCGGTGCGGCTTACATGAGGCCATGCCCATCAGTACAGTACACACAATATAACACAAAAGCATAACAAAACCAGAAAATAAAATACATAAAATGTAAAATCAGTATAATAAGCGACACAAAAATATAAAATCAACATTAAAACACAAAAGATTTCACTGGGAAGGGCCAAATTCAAAGATAAAATTTTAAAACACTAAGAGATAGGACATTGTAAACTATCAGGATGAGGAAGGATTTAATTGCACAAACCATAAAATAAAGTGCTTCTGAGGTCATTTTGTGCAAAGTTTGGTCAGGGAGTATCTTACATTCAATCACTGAATGCATAATGGAATAACCAGGTTTTCAGATTCCCCCTGAAGATTGCCAGCGTGGGAGCTTGCCTAATATCTCTGGGGAGTGAATTCCAGAGCAGGGGGGCCACCACAGAGAAGGCCCTCTCTCTCCTCCCCACAAGTCGCACTTGTGATACAGGCGGGGGAGCGAGAGAAGTGCCTCTCCGGAAGATCGAAGTGATCGTGTGGGTTCGTAGATGGAAATGCGGTCGCGCAGGTAGACGGGTCCCAAACCGTTCAGGGCTTTGTAGGTCAAAACCTGCACCTTGAATTGGGCCCGGAAGATAAACGGCAGTCAAGTCAGACTTCACGAGGTACGGTCACAACTGGTGTACAAGCTGTGCAAAGGCCCTCCCAGCCACCACGGACACCTGAATATCAAGGAGGACCCCCAGACTGCGGACCTGTGCAACCCCATCGAGCACAGGTTGCCACCCTAGACCCCGATCGGCCTTGCGACTGACCAGGAGGACCTCTGTCTTGTCTGGATTAAGCCTCAGCTTGTTATTATTTATTTATTTATTTATTTATTTATTTATTTCATGTACTTCTACCCCACCCTTCTCAACCCCCGAGGGGGGACTCAGGGCTGCTTACAAAAAGGCACAATTCGATGCCTACACAATAATACATATAAACGTTTAAAAACAGCAATAAAAACAGTTATAACAGTTAAAAACAGTCAATATATATCACAGTCAGTAAACCAATCTCAAGCTCCGCGTTCGACAACTCAGAGTCCATATTTCATTCTACATTGTCTGTTCCTATCAGTCGTCGTAGTCCTTTATTTATCTGCCAGATTGCCCAAACGCCTGGTCCCAAATCCATGTTTTTAATTTCCTTCTCGCTGATCTAACTTCCCCGGGGAGTGATTTCCACAGGTGAGGGGCCACCACCGAGAAGGCCCTGCTCCTTGTCCCTGCCAATCTCACTGGTGATAGAGGCGGGGCTGAGAGCAGGGCCTCCCCAGAAGATCTTAAACTCCGAGGTGGGAAGTAGAGGGAGATCCGTTCGGACAGATACGCTGGGCCGGAACCGTATAGGGCAATGGTTCTCAACCTTCTTAATGCCGCGACCCAATAATACAGTTCCTCATGCTGTGGTGACCCCCAACAATAAAATTATTTTTGTTGCTACATCATAACCATAATTTTGCTACTGTTATGAATTGTAATGTTAATATCCGATATGCAGAATGTATTTTCATTCCCAGGTCCAAATTTGACACAATACCCGATATGCCCAAATTTGAATATGGGGGGGGGGGGTAGGTGGGTGGATGGGTGGGTTATTTTGTCATTTGGGAGTTGTAGTTGCTGGGATTTATAGTTCACCTAAAATCAAAGAGCATTCTGAACTCCACAAACGATAGAGTTGAATCAAACTTGGCACACAGAGCTCGCATGACCAAGAGAAAATATTGGAAGGGTTTGGTGTCCATTGACCTTGAGTTTTGGAGTTGTAGTTCACCTACATCCATAGAACACTGTGGACTCAAACAATGATGGATCTGGATCAAAATTGGCATGAATGCTCAATAATATGAACACTAGTGGAGTTTGGGGAAAAGAGACTTGACATTTGGGAGTTGCAATTCCTGGGATTTATAGTTCGCCTCCAATCAAAGAGCATTCTGAACTCCACCAATGATAAAATTGGGCCAAACTTCCCACACAGAACCCCCATGATCAACAAAAAATAGTGTTTTCTGATGGTCTTTGGCGACCCCTCTGATACCCCCTCACGACCCCCCCAGGGGTCCCGACCCCCAGGTTGAGAAACGCTGGTATAGGGTTTTGTAGGTCAAAACCAGCACTTTGAATTGTGCTCGGAATTGGATCGGCACCCAGTGGAGCTGACATAGCAGAGGGGTGGTATGCTCCCTGTATGACGCTCCGGTGAGTAATCTGGCTGCCTCCCGCTGGACTAATTGAAGTTTCTGAACAGTCTTCAAAGGCAACCCCACGTAAAGTGCGTTGCAGTAATCTAATCGGGATGTAACAAGAACGTGGACCACTGTTGGCCCTCATCCAGTCCATCAAGGCGAGGCACTGGTCCAGGATCTGCGGGGGCTTCCTTGGAATTTGGTGGGAAAGAGTAGTAGAGTTGAGTGTCATCTGTGTAGAGATGGCACCAGACTCCAAAACTCCGAATGACTTCACCTAGTGGTTTCATGTTGATGTTGTAAAGCATGGGGGAGAGAATGGAACCTTGTGGGATCCCACAGGTCAAAGGTCAGGGGTCCGAGCAGGTATTCCCCAGCTTCAACACTTTGGAACAGCCCACCAGGAAGGAGTGGAGCCACTGCAGTGCAGCACCCGCAAGGCCCATTCCGGAAAGCTGCCCCAGAAGGATACCATGCTCGATGGCATTGAAAGCTGTTGAGATGTCCAAGAGAACCAACAAGGACACACTCCCCTCATTCGGCTTTCTGCAGAGGTCATCTACCAAGGCGACCAGAAGGGAAAGAAGAAGGTAGATAAAGGAAGGAAAGATGCAAACATGAAAGAGGGACGGAAGGGAAAAGATAGAATGAAAGAAGGAAAGGGGTGGGGGGGAGGAAAGCAAGAAAAGAACGGAAAGGAGGAAAGAAAAAAGGAAGGAAGGAGAAAGGCAGAATAGAGGAACAGAGATGGATGGGAGGAAGGAAAAAAGAAATGAAAGAAGGAAGGAAGAAAGATCGGAACGGATTGAAAGTACTGAATGGAAGAATGGACGTAAGGGAAGTAAGGAAGGAAGGGAGGAAAGGCTAAAGAAAGAAAGGATGAGGAGGATTGAAAAAGCCCCAGCTTTTGGTGTTGTTTTTTGTTTGGCTTATCATGAGAAAAAAAAAAGAAGAGCAGTGACACATCCGTTAGCTTTCGTTTTCTCGTTTCGGCTCTGCTTTCCCCTTTGAGACACAGGATTTATCAGAAAGGAAACAGAATCCCAGAGTCGGGGCAAAGAATCAGGGCTTGGAGAGAGGTCACTCTTTGCTCTGAGGTTGTGGGAACCACACTGCATGGAAAGCTTTCGTACCACTACCTATAGTCCTTTGCCCAGGTCTGAAGGAGATACATCAGGGAGCAAGATGACCTGCAAAGGGAAGTATGTGTTTCTAGGCTGCTGCATTGGTATCCTGATCATACTATTTGTTGTTTTCTTGGCCTTGTACCTGGATATAAAATATTCAGACCCGGCTGCCCAAGTGGAGATGTGCCGCTCGGAGCTGCAGAACCAGACATCCTTGGCAAATGATGGAATGGCCTCCCTCCAGCGACGCCTCAAAGCCCTAGCCAAGGCAGAGAAGGCAGCCACAGCAGTGGCCGAGGAGCTTCGGACCCACTTGATGTCCGCCGAGCAAGGCTTTGTCCAAACCAAAAAGCACTGGGAGTCCTGCCAGAACCAGCTGGTAAGGCACCTTTGCACTATATATACCAGCCAGCTTTAAGGGTAGCCACCCGTCTGTGGAACTCCCCGCCACTGGAGGTCCCCTTGGTCTCCGCCTTGCACCCTTCCTGTCATTTTATTCCAGCAGGTCTGTGAGACAGAATTGTGCAGCATGAAGTCAAGACAAATTTATTATTATTATTATTAATGTTATTATTATTTATTTCTACTTACCCGCCTCAAGGTATGGCACAACATGAATAAAAACACACAAGGATTACAATATAACAACAATTATTATTATTATTATTATTTCTACTTACACGCAACTCATTAAGGTTCGAGGTGGGGCACAACATGGTTAAAAGCACACGTGGATTACAATACAACAGCAGCAGCAACAACAACATTATTATTATTATTATTATTATTATTATTATTATTATTTCTACTTACACACGACTCTTTAAGGTTCGAGGTGGGGCACAACATGGTTAAAAGCACACACATGGATTACAATACAACAGCAGCAGCAACAACAACAACATTATTATTATTATTATTATTATTATTATTATTATTATTTCTACCTACACGCGACTCCTTAAGATTCGAGGTGGGGCACAACGTGGTTAAAAGCACACACATGGATTACAATACAACAGCAGCAGCAACAACATTATTATTATTATTATTATTATTATTATTATTATTATTTCTACTTACATGCAACTCCTTAAGGTTTGAGGTGGGGCACAACATGGTTAAAAGCACACATGGATTACAATACAATAGCAGCAGCAACAACAACAACATTATTATTATTATTATTATTATTATTATTATTATTATTATTATTTCTACCTACACGTGACTCCTTAAGGTTCGAGGTGGGGCACAACATGGTTAAAAGCACACACATGGATTACAATACAACAGCAGCAGCAACATTATTATTATTATTATTATTATTATTATTATTATTATTTCTACTTWCACACAACTCATTAAGGTTCGAGGTGGGGCACAACATGGTTAAAAGCACACACATGGATTACAATACAACAGCAGCAACAACATTATTATTATTATTATTATTTCTACTTACACGTGACTCCTTGAGGTTTGAGGTGGGGCACAACATGGTTCAAAACACACAAGAATTACAATATAATAATAATAATAATAATAATAATAATAATAATAATAACAACAATCTGCAATAGTAATAATAATAGGATTTAAAATAATAAATATGAGGATTTAAAGATCGAACTGCAAAGACTCTGGCACAAGCCAGTCAAGTTGGTCCCAGTGGTGATGGGCAAACTGGTGCAGTGCCTAAAGACCTTGGCCTGCACTTAAAAACAATCGGTGTTGACAAAATGACCATCTGTCAGCTGCAAACGGCCACCCTACCTGGAACTGCACGCATTATTTGCCAGCAAATCACACAATCCTAGACACTTGGGACGTGTGTGACGTGTGATCAAATACAAAAGCCAGCAAAGGGATCTTGTTTGCTGTGTACTTATCTTGCTATGTATCAAATAATAATAATAATAATAATAATAATAATAATAATAATAATTGTATTTCTCATCCGCCTCTCCTTGTGGCTCGAGGTGGGTTACAATATAGCTATAAACACATCATCATAAAACTGGCTGGGCTTTTTGGTTTGTGTGTGTGTGTGTGTGTGTGTGTGTGTGTGAGGAATGACTTGAGAAACTCCAAATCGCTTCTCGTGTGAGAGATTTGGCCATCTGCAAGGACATTGCCCAGGGGATGCCCGGATGTGTTACCATCCTGTGGGAGGCTTCTCTCATGTCCCCGCATGAGCTGAAGCTGACAGATGGGAACTCACCCCGCTCCGCAGATTCGAACCTCCAACCTGTCGGTCTTCAGTCCTGCCAGCACAAGGGTTTAACCCATTGTGCCATCGGTGGGCCTGCAAGAGTAAACACGAGCGAGTTTAATAGTAGTAATAGTTACTTAGTTCCACCATATGCTACCGTAGAGTTGCTTCTGTGATACATCTATATCTATACACATAATAAAAGTCAAAATATGTATGTGTGTGTGTGGCTGGGGGTGTCCACTTACACAGACAAGCTCCCATTTCCACAGACAGCTATGGTTCCCACTACTCAGGAGACACCAGTGGCCCTCCCTCCAATGACACTGCAGGTTATAATTGTGGCGGACAGATGACCACTGTCAAAAACTATGATGGGTGCTACTCATTAATAAACACATCCATTGATGAATTGCAAAGGGAAAAGGGTCCCGGTTTCTTGCTTCTGCTCCAACTTTCCCCCTTTGCCTTCAAACTTGCTCAATTGCTGTCTTTCCTTTCAGAAAACACTGGTGCAAAACTTCACGGCCGAAATGGGCAACGCCACACAGCGAGAGGCCGAGAAGTGCCAAGCAGAGACAGGTGAGAAAGGACACCACCAAACAAGCCACTGTTTGGCAAACCCAACCCATTTAAACTACCCAGTTTGGGCCAACTGGTTTCAAATGGGCTGAACATGATTGCATGAATATTAAATAATGTCCCATTCAGGGAGGGGAAAGCCATCCTCACTCTCTCCTTCTTCCTCTTCCTCCTTCCCTTTCCTCTCTACCTCCTTCCCATCCATCCATACTCCCTTTCTCCTACTTCTTCCCCTTCCCTTTCCTCTCTACTTCCTTCCTTTCCCATCCATCCATCCATCCATCAATCCTCCCTCTCTCCTTCTCCCCTTCCTCCTTCCCTTTCTTCTATACTTTCTTCCGATTCATCCCTACTCCCTCTCTCCTTCTTCTTCCCTTTCCTCCTTCCCTTTCCTCTCTACTTCCTTCCCATCCATCCATCCTCCCTCTCTCCTCCCCTCTTCTTCCCCTTCCTCCTTCCCTTTTCTACTTCCTTCCCATCCACCCATCCTCCCTTCCTCCTTCCTCTTCCCCTTCCTCCTTCCCTTTTCCACATCCCTCCCATCCACCCGTCCTCTCTCCCTGCTTCCTCTTTCCCTTCCTCCTTCACTTTCCTCTCTATCTCCTTCCCATCCATCCATCCTCCCTCTCTCATTGGGCTTCCTTTTCCTCCTTCCCTTTTCTACTTCCTTCCCATCCACCTGTCCTCCCTCTCTCCTTCTTCTCCCCCTTCCTCCTTCCCTTTCCTCTCTACTCCCTTCCCCCCTCTTCCCTCTCTCCTTCTCTCCCTTCCCACCCTGCTTCCCTGATTTCCTTCCCTTCCCTTTCTCTCTCCTTTCTTCCATCCCTCCATCCCTCCCTCCATCCTTCCTCCTCCCCTCCATTCTTCCCATCCCTTCCTCCTTTCCTATCCTCTGTCCTTTTTTTCCTTCTCCCCTTCCTTCCCTTCCTACTTTCATCCTTCCTCCTTCCACCCTTCCCTTTCCTCTCCTTTCAGCCTATCCTCTCCTTCCTTCTTCTCTTCTCTTCCTTCATTCCTTCCTTTCCTCCTCTCTTCTCTCCTTCCCATCCCTGTGCTTGTTATCAAGCAATTTAGAACGGCAGTGGATAGTGAGATCCAAGCCACTGTGTGTTTAACCTGGTGAGAAACAGAAACCAATACTCCAGAATCAGGGCTGTAGCCAGAAAAAAATTTCGGGGAGGGTTGACAATTTGGGGGGGGGGGTTGAAAATTTGGGGAGGGGTTTGAAAATTTCGGGGAGGGTTGAAAATTTTGGGGGGGGTGGGGTTGAAACCTGCCTCCTAGCTCACGCTGAAGCAAAGAACACAGCAGGGGGCAGAGCAACCTTCCATAGCTTGCAGTTCCACCCCTGTCAACCACCTCCACCAAGTCTGGCCTCCTTAATGAGAGTTGCTGCAAGTAATGACAGTGTGAATAAATTGTCAATATTTGCTTGAGATAGTGCTTACAGTTCTGGAGGGACTCTTAATTTTTTGCATCTCATAGACTTAGCATGGGGATTTGGTTAACCAGTTAAAATTCATGAGTAAACCAGGTTTTTTTTAAAAAAATCTGAAACATTTCGGGGAGGGTTTGAACCCCTAAAACCACCCCCTCGCTACAGGCCTGTCCAGAATAAATCTCAGCAAGTTGAAGCAGAAGCCACCAAGGTATTTATTTACTTTCGGCTCAAAATGATGCCAGCTTGCGGTAATCCACCCCCCCCCCCAACCGCAACGCTCAAACACACCCCGAACCAACGACGCCTCACACCCCGATGCCACGGCCGCACCCCCCCCCCCCCCCCCCCCCCAAATAAGCTGAGATACATAACACAGTAAAGCACACATTTTTATACACTTTTCAGGTTCAAAATTCCCACCGCCGCCTGGCTTGGCTGTGGTTGGCCACGCCTGGAGGCGGGAGTCCGGCACGCCCCAGCCAATGGGAGAGCGCCACCTGCCTTCGATGTGAATTTCCCCCTGTCCAATGGTTGCAGAGGGGCTGGCAGGTCTTAGAACAATAGATGAAATGATGACTGATGGTGGGATTAAATATTCCTGATATGTGGACACAATGACCCTGATGGTTTTCCCAATACTTTGATTGTTCCTTTTGATTCCCGTTCCTGATTAAGCCCAATGGCCCAACCACCAGACTTCCTTGCAGATTCCAGCAGAAAATATTGTCCATAGAAATGTCCAATGGCTAGGAATAACAAAGGGGAAAATAGCTTTTCCAAAAACAGTGGCATGGTTATCCCTTGACTGGAAACTCTATGCTGGGATGGCAAATGTCATGTATTGTCCAAGCAGTGACAAAGGGGAAGCGTGGACCATCCAACTCCTGGTATCCCTAGGCCACTTGTTTGCTTGTCATTTATTTGTTCAGTCGCTTCCAACTCTTCGTGACCTCATGGACCAGCCCATGTCTACCGTCATCACCCCCAGCTCCTTCAGAGTCAAGCCAGTCACTTCAAGGTTACCATCCATCCATCTTGCCCATGAACAAAATCTGGCTACCAGTATTAAAAAAAATAATCTAAAATTACAACAGCAAAACAACAGAGAGGAAACAATCAGGGACAGCTAATCACCTCTGAGCAAAAGATTCCCTCAGGCACTAACAAGCCACACCAAACAACAGCCAGGCCATCAAATGCTAATCAAGGTGGTCAGTTGAAACATTCACACTTAGCTCCAGCAGACAAGAGTTCTTTGTCCCACCCTAGTCATTCCACAGATATATAAACTCAATTTTCCTAGTTCCAACAGACCTCACTACCTCTGAGGATGCTTGCCATAGATGCAAGCGAAACGTCAGGAGAGAATGCCTCTAGAACATGGCCATATAGCCTGTAAAAACCTATTCTGTGTACGAACCCAGGCGATCTCTTCGATCATCTGGAGAGGCCCTGCTCTCGCTCCTGCCCCCTTCGCAGGCACGATTAGTGGGGATGGGGGAGAGGGCCTTCTCTGTGTTGGCTCCCCGACTCTGGAACTCACTTCCTAAGCATATCAGGCAAGTCCCCACATTGGCAGTTTTTAGGAGGAGCCTGAAAATGTGGCTATTCCAGTGTGCCTTCCCTGAACAAGGAAATAGTTCCCAGCAAAATGTCTTCAGAAGCACTTTAACTACTCGTTGGGTTGCTCTCCCTTCATTTCTTTTAAAACCCTCTTACCAGATACATCGTACCTCTGTTCATGCCCAGCATTTATTTTTTAAATTTTAAACTATTACATTGGTTTTTTTAAATCCTTGCATGTTATTGTTTATATGTGAGTTATATTCATTGTATTGTTTTATTTGCTTATTGCTTTTTGTTTTATTGATGTGTTGTCGGGCTTAGCCTCATGTAAGCCGCTTCGAGTCCCCTTGGGGAGATGGTGGCAGGGTATAAGTAAAGTATTATTATTATTATTATTATTATTATTACAACAACCCAGTGATTCCGGCCATGAAAGCCTTCGACAATACATTGAACCTATACTTGTTTGTATAGGTTCCATTGAGGTAGCTGATGGATCCAGTCAAATGCAAATGTAGCCTGGCAAGATGCTCACAGACAAGGAAATGCAGGCAAAGGTCACTGCAAGACTTCAGCTGGTGACTGAAGTCTTTAATACAGTGATACAAAATATAAACAAGATTAACATATACATACATTAGGGGGCTGTGGTTGTAGGGGTACCCAATTCTGAGGCCTGGTCCCCACAGGTTAGGGGGCAGACATACAGGCCAGGGTCCATCGGGACCTGTGGGGGGGCTCTGATATCTCGCGCATCACCCATGGGCGAAGACAAAAAACAAGCAAATGAGGAAAACCTGGGAAGGAGAACAGGTACATAAGGAGTTTCCTGGGGTCTTGGGGAAACATACACAGGGGATTGGTGGGTCTGAGAGGACCCTTGGGCTCCCCAGATCCAACCTGGGGGGGGGAAAAACCAGTACAATTGGTACCAGGATAGTGGGGATAGATAGGGGATTATGGGTTAGGTAGTTATTGAATGTGAGAGAGTGGAATTGAATGGCAAAGGAAAAAGTAAGCAAAATGGGGCTTGGAATATGTGTCCAGAGGAGGGCGACTAAAATGATCAAGGGTCTGGAGAACAAGCCCTATGAGGAGCGGCTTAAGGAGCATGGGCCTGCATCAATAGGAGCATAGTGTCTAGATCTAGGGAAGTAATGGTACCCCTCTATTCCGCTTTGGTTAGACCACACCTGGAATATTGTGTCCAATTCTGGGCACCACAATTCAAGAGAGATATTGACAAGCTGGAATGTGTCCAGAGGGGGCGACTAAAATGATCAAGGGTCTGGAGAACAAGCCCTATGAGGAGCGGCTTAAGGAGCTGGGCATGTTTAGCCTGAAGAAGAGAAGGCTGAGAGGAGACATGATAGCCATGTATAAATATGTGAGAGGAAGCCACAGGGAGGAGGGAGCAAGCTTGTTTTCTGCTTCCTGGAGACTAGGACGCGGAACAATGGCTTCAAACTACAAGAGAGGAGATTCCATCTGAACATGAGGAAGAACTTCCTGACTGAGAGCCGTTCAGCAGTGGAACTCTCTGCCCCGGAGTGTGGTGGAGGCTCCTTCTTTGGAAGCTTTTAAACAGAGGCTGGATGGCCATCTGTCAGGGGTGATTTGAATGCAACATTCCTGCTTCTTGGCAGGGGGTTGGACTGGATGGCCCATGAGGTCTCTTCCAACTCTTTGATTCTATGATTCTATTCTATGAATATTTTTTGAAAGACTATATGTCTTCTGCCCATCCTTTCTTGTTTTTCCTTCCCTTCTTCCTTCCATCCTCCCTCCCCTCCCTCCTCTCCTTCTCTTCCTTATCTTCTATCCCTGTTTCATCCTTCCCTCCTTCCTTAGACAACCTCCAGAGGCAGCTATCAAACCAAGCGGAGAAACTGGAGGAAGCCCTGCAGAAGAACCAGCAACAACGGTAAGGAGAATAGGTCGGGACTATTCCCAGAAATTTCCTTGTCAGCTCCGGTCTTTGATCCAATCCTCATCCATTATTATTGTTGTTGTTGTTGTTGTTGATACCCTACTTTTTCTCTCCACAAGGAGACTCAAAGCAGCTATGTATCTATTATTAGTATTAAAATGCATTATTATTATTAGTATCATCATCATTATATTATTATTATTATTATTATTATTATTATTATTATTATTATTATTATTATTATTATTGTGTTTGGGTTGCTGTGAGGTATATAAACCCCACCTGCCTAGTTTCCAACAGACCTCACAACCTCTGAGGATGCCTGTCATAGATGTGGGCGAAACATCAGGAGAGAATGCTTCTGGAACATGGCCAGACAGCCCGGAAATCTCACAACAACCCAGTGATTCCAGCCGTTAAAGCCTTCAAAAATACATGCTTAATGTGTTGTCGAAGGCTTTCATGGCTGGAATCCCTGAGTTGTTGTGTATTTTTGTGTTTATTTATACCCCGCTTTTTCTCTCCACAAGGGAGATTCAAAACGGCTACGTATTTGTATTGTCGAAGGCTTTCATGGCCGGGATCACTGGGTTGTTGTAGGTTTTTCCGGGCTATATGGCCATGTTCTGGAGGCAATTTTTCTCCTGACGTTTCGCCTGCATCTATGGCAAGCATCCTCAGAGGTAGTTTCCTACTTCCAACAGACCTCACTACCTCTGAGGATGCTTGCCATAGATGCAGGCGAAACGTCAGGAGAAAAATTGCCTCCAGAACATGGCCATATAGCCCGGAAAAACCTACAACAACCCGGCTACGTATCTATTATATATTATAGTCAATAGTGTCTAGATCTAGGGAAGTCATGCTACCCCACTATTCTGCTTTGGTTAGACCACACCTGGAATATTGTGTCCAATTCTGGGCACCACAATTCAAGAGAGATATTGACAAGCTGGAATGTGTCCAGAGGAGGGCGACTAAAATGATCAAGGGGCTGGAGAACAAGCCCTATGAGGAGCGGCTTAAGGAGCTGGGCATGTTTAGCCTGAAGAAGAGAAGGCTGAGAGGAGATATGATAGCCATGTATAAATATGTGAGAGGAAGTCATAGGGAGGAGGGAGCAAGCTTGTTTTCTGCTTCCCTGGAGACTAGGACAGAACAATGGCTTCAAACTACAAGAAAGGAGATTCCATCTGAACATTAGGAAGAACTTCCTGACTGTGAGAGCCATTCAGCAGTGGAACTCTCTGCCCCAGGAGTGTGGTGGAGGCTCCTTCTTTGGAAGCTTTTAAACAGAGGCTGGATGGCCATCTGTCGGGGATGCTTTGAATGCAATATCCTGCTTCTTGGCAGGGGTTGGACTGGATGGCCCATGAGGTCTCTTCCAACTCTTTGATTCTGATTCTATATTAGCATTAGAATGTATTATTGTTATTATTATTTTCCGAGCTCAGCCTGGCTCTCATTCAAAGGCCACCCTTCAGATTGCCTTCCAAACCCATTTTTTTTTGCCAAGAATCCATTTAATTCAAGCGAAGGCAGCCTGCAGGAAGTTCGCCTAAGGATGGAGGGCAAGTCCTGGCGCCAGGAAGTCAATGCAATTGGAGCCATGGATCAAGGGAAGTCTGACATGTTTTTTTTCTCTCTTTCTCTAGGGAAGATTGTGATGCCAGAATCCACCAGCTCCAGGCTGAGCAGAAGCACCAATCCCCTTCTTCTGGGGCAGCGGTCCCTGAGACCCCCATTGTGGCCTTCCTCGCCTTTGCTTTCCTCTTCCTCCCATAGCTTTGGCTGGCATCCTTTTGGGGTCTCTCACAGCTTAATCTGCATAAACACGCCCCTTTACTGGCATTGTATTTGCATAACCACTCCCCCTTTCCCTGTGAAGCTTTTGCCACCATAGATGGAATGAAACCCAGGAGAACATTCTTCATGCGCTTTCTGACCAATCTTTGAATGTCGAGGAGGATTTCTATTCTGAAATAAAAATGGCTGGGCTTCGTATCTTTTGCAGTGGGACCGAAAGGCCTTTTATTCCGTCGTATGTACAGCCAACTCTTGACATTGAAACTGGACTTTGCCCAATGCGTTGAACACAGATCACAGAATCACTGTAGAATCATAGAATCATAGAATCAAAGAGTTGGAAGAGACCTCATGGGGCCATCCAGTCCAACCCCATTCTGCCAAGAAGCAGGAATATTGCATTCAAATCACCCCTGACAGATGGCCATCCAGCCTCTGTAAAAGCTTCCAAAGAAGGAGCCTCCACCACACTCCGGGGCAGAGAGTTCCACTGCTGAACGGCTCTCAAAGTCAGGAAGTTCTTCCTCATGTTCAGATGGAATCTCCTCTCTTGTAGTTTGAAGCCATTGTTCCGCGTCCTAGTCTCCAGGGAAGCAGAAAACAAGCTTGCTCCCTCCTCCCTGTGGCTTCCTCTCACATCTTTATACATGGCTATCATATCCCCTCTCAGCCTTCTCTTCTTCAGGCTAAACATGCCCAGCTCCTTAAGCCGCTCCTCATAGGGCTTGTTCTCCAGACCCTTGATCATTTTAGTCGCCCTCCTCTGGACACATTCCAGCTTGTCAATATCTCTCTTGAATTGTGGTGCCCAGAATTGGACACAATATTCCAGGTGTGGAGGGGGAGCCTGAAGGTCATCTAGTCTGACCTCGTTTGGCCCTGCAGGAAGGCACACATATGACGGGTGTCCGTTAAAGATTTCCTGTGGACTGAGAGCAATGAAACTTGGCCCAGTTCTTAGTACTCTTCTCCATGGGTGCCACCCAGGGACACACACTTTATGTTATTTACGACATTTATATGCTGCCCTTCTCACTCAGGGGACTCAGAGCGACTTACAAGATATATATACATACAATATTTATTTATTTATTTAAATGTTTTATATACCGGCCTTCGCACCTCTCTCGAGGGACTCAGACCATAATATCACATACAATCAATAAAACATCATAATTCATATTATAGTAAAACATTAAAACAGCAATTACAATCAATAACTACAACGGTCAGTCGTCAGACTAAAGTCGTTGCTCATCATCCTCCATCCATATCTCAGGGTGTTGGCTCACTCGTCGAATGCCTGTCTCCATAGCCAAGTCTTCACCTGTTTCCTAAATGTCAGGTTAGAAGGGGCGGTTCTGATCTCCAGTGGGAGAGAGTTCCAGAGTCGAGGGGCCACCACCGAGAAGGCCCTGTCCCTCGTCCCCACCAGACGCGCTTGCGAGGCCGGTGGGACCGAGAGCAGGGCCTCTCCAGACGATCTTAATAATCTCGATGGTTCATAGGGGAGAATACGTTCGGAGAGGTAAACAGGGCCGGAGTCGTTTAGGGCTTTATAGGTTAACACCAGCACTTTGAATTGTGCTCGGAAGCTAATTCGCAGCCAGTGGAGCTTGTGTAACAGCGGAGTGGTGTGCTCCCTGTACCCAGCACCCGCTAGTAGTCTGGCTGCCGAGCGTTGGACTAGCTGCAGCTTCCAGGCAGTCTTCAGAGGCAACCCCACGTAGAGAGCGTTGCAGTAGTCTAAACGGGATGTAACCAATGCGTGGACCACCGTGGCCAAGTCAGACTTCCCAAGGTACGGGCGCAGCTGGCACACAAGTTTTAATTGTGCAAAAGCTCTCCTGGTCACCGCCGAAACCTGAATTATAGATTATATTATTAGCATAGTACAATATCAGTATTAAATATTACTATATTGTACTATACCAGTGGTTCTCAACCTGTGGGTCCCCAGATGTTTTGGCCTACAACTCCCAGAAATCCTAAAAGCTGGTAAACTGGCTGTGATTTCTGGGAGTTGTAGGTCAAAACACCTGGGGACCCACAGGTTGAGAACCACTGTAGTATACCATTATATTGTAATATTACTAGTAATATTACATCTATATAAATAAAAATGTAATGTTTGTTTGTGGGATTAACATAACTCAAAAACCACTGGACGAATTGACACCAAATTTGGACACAAGACACCTAACAACCCAATGTATGTCCTTCACTCAAAAAAAATTGATTTTGTCATTAGGGAGTTGTAGTTACTGGGATTTATAGTTCACCTACAATCAAAGAGCACTCTGAACTCCACCAATGATGGAATTGAACCAAACGTGGCATATAAGACTCCTATGACCAAGAGAAAACACTAGAAGGGATTGGTGGGCATTGACATTGAGTTTGGGAATTGTCGTTCACCTACATCCAGAGAGCACTGTGGACTCAAACAATGATGGATCTGGTCCAGTGAATGAAAATACATCCTGCATATCCAATATTTACATTACGATTCATAACAGTAGCAATATTACAGTTATGAAGTAGCAACAAAAATAATTTTCTGGTTGGGGGTCACCACAACATGAGGAACTGTATTAAGGGGTCGTGGCAGTAGGAAGGTGGAGGAACACTGCTATAGGGACTTATTACACACATGCAGTTTCTGCATCCTGTGATAAATAGAAGTGGGTCATGGGAAATCTTTCATTAACGCCCTTCGTAAGCATTCCTGTTTCAAGATCTTCCAGTCATAATAGTTAAACAAATCAGGGTGTGCATTAGACATGATGGTACATCAGAATTGGGCCCAAAACTCCATCCGTTTGGAGAGTTTTGGAAGGGAACACAGCAGAGCCTTCCAAACTCTCCAAAAGGGATGCAGAGCAAGCATAAGCTTATCAGAAAGAGGAGTTGCAAGAGAGCAGCTGTGCATGCTTATGAAGAGTTTGGAAGATTCTCTGCTCCAAGGAGAAGGCAGCCTTCCTCTCTTCCTCCTCCTCCTCTTTGCAATTCCTCTGAAGAGTTTGCAGGGCTCTCTGCTCCAAGGAGAAGAAATTGTGGGAGGAGCCAAAAGACCCTTGTTAGGGAAAGTCCTGCCATTACCTACCCAGCAGGTAAGTTAGGCAGTCAACTATTTCAGTTAAGCTTTTTCTTTGCTAAAACAATTCCATGTTTCTTGAACTCCTTGCCAACAAGGCACTCAACAAACACTGACCCTCAAGAGCCAGCCTGAGCATGAAGCCCATATAAAATCCAGTTGCCATGCCTTGAACTGGATTATATGGCAGTGTAAACTCAGATAATCCAGTTCAAAGCAGTTCATGTGGATGATTTGCTTTAATAATGTGGATTATATGGCAGTCTAGAAGGGGTCTGAGCTTTCTGCTGGTCCCTGAGAAGAGGAATTGCAAATAAAGAAGCCAAGTAAGAGAGGAAGGCTGCCTTCTCCTTGGAGTAGAGAGCCTTGCAAACTCTTCAGAGGCATTGCAAAAAGGAGAAGGAGGAGAGGAAGACTGCAGTCTTCATAATCATTGCAAAGATGGGAGAGAAGATGAAGAAGGGAGAGAGGAAGGCTGCCTTCTCCTTTGGAGCAAAAACCTTCCCAGACTCTTCAGAGGAAATGCAAAGAGAAGAAAGAAGGGAAGGAAGAGAGGAAGGCTGCCTTCTCCTTGGAGCAGAAAGCCTTCCAAGTTCTTCAGAGGCATTGCAAAAAGGAGGAGGAGGAGAGGAAGACTGTATTCTTCATAAACATTGCAAAGAGAAGAAGGGAGAGAAGATGGAGAGGAAGGAAGAGAGGAAAATTACCTTCTCCTTGGAGTTGAGAGGCTTTCAAACTCTTCAGAGGCATTGTAAAAAGGAAGAGGAGGAGAGGAAGACTGCATTCTTCATAAACATTGCAAAGAGAAGAATGGAGAGAAGATGTAGAAGAAGGGAGAGGGGAAGGCTGCCTTCTCCTTGGAGCAAAAACCCTCCCAACACTCTTCAGAGGAAATACAAAGAGGAGAAAGAAGAGAAGGAAGAGAGGAAGGCTGCCTTCTCCTTGGAGCAGAAACCCTCCCAGACTCTTCAGAGGAAATACAAAGGGAAGGAAGAAGGGAAGGAAGAGAGGAAGGCTGCCTTCTCCTTGGAGCGGAAACCCTCCCAGACTCTTCAGAGGAAATGCAAAGAGAAGAAAGAAGGGAAGGAAGAGTGGAAGGCTGCCTTCTCCTTGGAGCAGAAACCCTCCCAGACTCTTCAGAGGAAATGCAAAGAGAGAAGAAAGAAGGGAAGGAAGAGAGGAAGGTTGCCTTCTTTTTGGAGTAGAAAGCCTTCCAAGTTCTTCAGAGGCATTGCAAAAAGGAGGAGGAGGAGAGGAAGACTGCATTCTTCATAAGCATTGCAAAGAGAAGAAGGGAGAGAAGATGGAGAGGAAGGAAGAGAGGAAGACTACCTTCTTGGAGTTGAGAGGCTTTCAAACTCTTCAGGGGCATTGTAAAAAGGAAGAGGAGGAGAGGAACACTGCATTCTTCATAAACATTGCAAAGAGAAGTATGGAGAGAAGATGTAGAAGAAGGGAGAGGGGAAGGCTGCCTTCTCCTTGGAGCAAAAACCCTCTCACACTCTTCAGAGGAAATACAAAGAGGAGAAAGAAGAGAAGGAAGAGAGGAAGGCTGCCTTCTCCTTGGAGCAGAGGAAATACAAAGGGAAGGAAGAAGGGAAGGAAGAGAGGAAGGCTGCCTTCTCCTTGGAGCGGAAAAACTCCCAGACTCTTCAGAGGAAATGCAAAGAGAAGAATGAAGGGAAGGAAGAGAGAGAGGAAGGGTGCCTTCTTTTTTGAGTAGAAAGCCTTCCAAGTTCTTCAGAGGCATTGCAAAAAGAGGGAGGAGGAGAGGAAGACTGCATTCTTCATACGCATTGCAAAGAGAAGAAGGGAGAGAAGATGAAGAGGAAGGAAGAGAGGAAGACTACCTTCTCTGTGAAGCAGAGAGCCATGCAAAATCTTCAGAGGCATTGCAAAAAGAAGGAGGAGAGGAAGACTGCATTCTTCATAAGCATTGCAAAGAGAAGATGGGAGAGAAAATGGAGAAGAAAGAAGAGAGGAAGGCGACCTTCTCCTTGGAGCAGAGTGCCATGCAAACTCTTCAGAGGCATTGCAAACAGGAGGAGGAGGAGGAGGAGAGGAAGACTGCATTCTTCATAAACATTGCAAAGAGAAGATGGAGAGGAAGGAAGAGAGGAAGGCGACGTTCTCTTTGCAGCAGAG